ACCGCTGCGGTCACTTTCACATTTATATTTTAATTTATCCATAAACCCAAGGGATTGGTTTTTTTTTAAAAGAAATAACAAGGATTTGGAGAAATAAAAGATTTTCGAAAGAGTTTTGGATTTAGAATTTCTGGATTTTTTTTTACCCATATGGCAACTGGAATGTTTTATTTTACATTGACTCTATATATTTCATCCTGAAACTAATATGCACCATTCACAGAAAAATCCTTTCCAGTGGTTGGGTGGTCCGAAGCTTCAGTGGCTATTTGTTTGCCTTTATTCCCAGTATCTTCCAAGTTTTTTTTTAAATCGGTTATTCAAGGCGAAAAAAATAAATTTCAAACCTTAACTTCTGGCGCATGACTTTTCCATGAATTGAGGAAAAAATTAATTAGTTTTTTCATGCTTCTGCTGTTTTCTAATTTTAAATTAAAATCTGGCTGAAAAGGTGTTTTTTTCATTTTGCTTTTTTTTCAAGCGTATTTTTGAGAGAGCTAAGTCAGCAAAAAGCCAGTGTTAGTAATTTTTCTGGATGCTCGCAGGTGCTACTACATCAGAATCTCTTCGACTTGTGCTCGATGTATTTGCGTCATTCTTTCGCAAGCCGCCCGAGTGGTCGTTTACTTTCTCGTGGGTAACACTCACTTTCGTTGCCGGCATGGCAAGCCACTGGGATGCTCTAAAACGCCGGGCGCTTCTTTGCCAGTCCTTTTGGTCCTGGAATAATCAGGCTTAGAAAGCGTCCTGGAGAGAAGCTTAATGAAAAGCTGAGGTGAAAATCTGCGAATCGGGAGGAGGCAACGGAAATTGAGTCGTTGAGATAAGACATTTCGGTCCATTAAATTGATCTTTGCTCCGGTTCTGTAGGGCTTAAATATGACTAATTTTCAAAGTAAATACTGAATTTTGTGTGGGAACGATGAAGGTACTTGTTCCTCCTCTCTGCTCTTCCTCTTTTGTTGTGTTACAGAAGTACATCGTTTCGTGTTTGTTTGGCAAATAACAGCTGTGGCGACCTTGCACATCACGAGATTATTGTCGCCCTTTATATGGCAATTATAATAGTTTTCGCAATTTTGCAGGATTAATTCAAACGTGTCTGAACTTCTCTGGATAATCCTCGAAGTATTATTATCTGGAATATGCGAGGCTGCCATTTTACTGCCATGTCCTAGAACTTTTGCCTTCTTTTCCGTTGTTTCGAAACTGCCTCTCCTCGTATTTTCACTGCTTTGTCATCGTTGCTTCAAAGTGCCTAATAACAATACCGCCTCCATTAGCCTGAATCATCATCACCACCATCCTAGCAATACCCTTCCTTATATGTATTTATACATTCTTCCTTTCTTATCACTTTCTCCTTGATTCATCACCATAAAAACTATCAGTTCCCGAGTGGCCGCCGAAGAAAAGTTGCTTACCTGAGTGAAAATTGAAAAATCCTGGAATTTTTTTTCCTGGAGCTCAGCAGCCGGATACCACCAAGCTCCATTTTAGCCGTTGGATTACGAAGATCCGGTGCAACGTGACGGTTTTACGTTGGGTGTCCGGGTTTACGATGGGCGCTACTATGCAACAACAAAACTGCACATCGAGCTCCAGGATCGGAACGATAATCCACCGGTCATCAAAGGTCCACAGCATGTCCAGCTATCGGAAGATGCATGGCGTGGCCATCAGGTTGCCCGGTTTACGGTCCAGGATGCGGATGCAAATGATACCGCTGTGTGAGTCTACAGACACTACTAGTGCTACTACTACTACTACTACTACCACGTCTTTTACTACTTTTGTCCCGGTTTTCCGGGATTTTCAGCAAAAATCCAGCAGCAAGGACGAAAATGGCCTTGCTACCGCTTGCACCACGGCCCATTCCACTGCCTTCAAAAGCAATTCCATCCATCGGAAAATCTCGGGAAATCGCCGGTTTCCGAGGAGTTCGGTGTTGTGGAGGCTTTTCCTCCTGTCAGCAACATTCTTTAACTCAGCTGTAGCGGTAGAAGCGCAGGAGCTGTCCCATCTGTTCATGGGTTCCCATCCGGGCCAATCACGTTTCATGAATTTCGCCGGCAAAACCCAGCGTGATATTATTGTAAAATTTACCAAAAATATCACGGAAGATACGCCGGTTGGCACATTGCTGGCCACATTCCGTGCTGAAGATAAGGATTCGATGACGCATAATTTAACGTAAGTTTGGAATTTTTTAACGGGATAATAATAACAATAATGTAGATCAGCTTTTTCGAATTAATTTAATCCAGAATTTTAAATTTTAACATCTTCTAAGTTAATTTGATTTAGAAGTTTAAGTTTTGACATTTTTTAAATTGATTTAATTTAGAAATTCAATTATCTCATTAATTTAACAAGTACTGCATGTCAC